CTGGTCCCCCCCCCCCCCCGAACTTCCAATTTGTGTGAACGGTCTTGTTATTCTGATGCATGAGTTGGTACTTTCTCCCCCGCAGACGCACCGGAGGAATTTTTTTTATTACAAAGTTGCGTAGATTGAAGGCTGGGGAGAGCAGAGCGGGAGAGAGAGAAAGCGCGCTTTGTTTGTTGCTCATTTGCTCCAAGAATGGGAAGAAAAGGCGATTGGCGGCAAGTTTGCCGCCACCACTCCGCCTTTTTTTTTTTGCAAAGAAGGACCAACCTCCCGCCCCTCCCGCAAAAAACCTCCCCAAGACGCGTGCAGGCGAGCCGAGCGTAGCACCAGAGCCACCTCCAAGCCCGCTCTCCTTTCCCTCCCTTTCAGCCTGTTCTGCAGGTACGCCTGGAGCTCTCGCCTCAGCCGCCCTCTCGCAGCCCCTGCTAGCTCTGCGCGATCGCCGGACGATTTGTCTCGCTCTCCGAGCCTCCCCCGAGAAAAGCAGCACCCGGGAATTTTTTTTTTGGGGGGGGGGCTCCAGGGAAACATGGCTGCGACCCTCGATCTCCCTTCCACCCCTGCCTCGATCCGGATGCTCCTGCTGCTCCACATTTCTGTCTCCTTCTGGCTGCAGAGGAGCCGCTGCACGGAGGAGGCGGCGCAGGAGTTTTCCAGCCCGGACCCCCTGCCGGAATCCGCCGTGCAGAAGCCCACCGTCTTCTTAGCCATCCTCGCCAGGAACGCGGCCCGTTCCCTGCCCCATGCCCTCGGCTGCGTGGAGCGGCTGCGCTACCCCAAGAACAGGATCGCCGTCTGGTATGTGTGGGGAGGGGGCAGCTCTACATTATCCCATGCCCGAAAGGAGGGTGTGTGTGTGTTTCCAGGCTGTGGCTCAGGATGAGCATCAGGAGGAAGGAACTGCGAATCCCTGTCTCGAAGCAGGGGGAGTCCCTTATTGGGTTGCCAACTGACCCAGAAAGAGGCCTGGCTCGCTGGTCTGCCTTTGAGGCAACCCTGGCCTACAGAACTCGGCAGGTGAAGGTTTTCACAGAACACTTGTTGCCAGCCGGTACCTGTGGCTCAGGCTGCTGTGAGAGAGGCACAGGAGTCAGGAAAATGTTGGCAACCGCTAGTTCCAGCCAGGTGGGGATTACCTAGGACCCATCTGGAAGAGGGATGGAAGCAGGATGGGTTGGGGGAGGGGGGAACCAGGGGGAGGGAGGGAGGGAAGGAATGTCAAGCTGCTGTCCTGTGCTATTTGCATTTGCCCTGGTAAATTCAGTCACACTCTGAATAAACAAGAACGGGATTTGGCCACGCGCAGAGTAGAGCCCAAGGATGGAAGTGGGCTTAAAATGTTTTTAAAATCTGCAATCGCAGACCGGTCAGACTCAGGTTATGATGGTGGAGACGGAAGGGGGGGATGGCGTTCTGTGTAAGAAATGTGAGTGGAAGTCCTTGTGGCTCAGAAGTTTGTTTGGTTACGTCATGGCTGCACAGACGGGGAGACCTTCCTCAGCAGGGTATGGAGGGGGGAAAGAAATCCAGTTGTTAGTGGCTTGGCAAGCTGGGGCTAAGAGCGCTGAGCCAGAGATGACAATACAGCAGGGGGAAACCGTTGGCTCGGGGTTCAGCCTTTCTCGCTTACAATAC